GGTGGTGGTGGTGTGCCTTCAAATAGTTTCTGACTTATGGTGACCCTAAGCAAGGTGAACCTATCATGGGCATGAGCTTTTGTAGACTTGAGCCTACTTCAAACAAGCATCTGAAGAAGTTGGCTCAAGTCTACAAAAGCTCATTCTACCAACTTCTTTCTTTCTGTTAGTCTCTCAAAGGTGCTACAAAATCTATTTGCATACTCCTAGATGTTGTTGTTGTGTGCCTTCAAGTTGTTTCTGACTTAACGGCGACCCGACAGTGAACCTGTTGTGGGGTTTTCTGGGACTGAGAGTGTGTGACTCACCTAAGGTCACCCAGTAGGTTTCCATGGCTGAGTGGGGAATCGAACCCTGATCTCCAGAGTCATAGTCCAATGCTCAAACCACTACACCACACAGACTGTTATTTACCATCAACTCAGCTTCAACATATGGTGACTCCATAACTAAGAGACCTCCATGAACCTTGGTCACCAACAGCCTTCCTCCGGTCTTGCAAAAGTTGTGGCTTCCTTAAGTGAATCAATCTATCAGTAAAATTCAGTCTTCTTCTTTTCCAAGTGCCTTCCATTGTACTGAGCATTCTCATCTTTGTAATGATTTTTCCCCGAATGCCCAGTCCAAATCAGCTCCTCCATCAACACCACAAAGAGCTGATGTTAGTCAGAGATGGAGACCTTATGAAACACAACTTTTTAAAAATCCTTGCTCCTTTTGGTAGAGCAGTTTAACCTGGGAAGCATGCATGGGAGACAAAGCCTAATCTCTTTTCCCACTGTGCTCTGGCTCCAGTCCCAAGAAGAACATTACATCTGGGAATTACAGTCATGGTATTCCAAAGTGATGTCTAATTTGAGAATTTTTCATTTCAAACACTTTATGAGAGTGGGAAGGTAAATTAGAGCAGAGGCAGGCAAAGAAGAGAAAAGATTTCGACATCAGGAGCCCTCCTTTTACTTGAAAGTTTAGAAGTTATTGCTAGTGAATATTAATGTGACATAGGAATTAGTGGTTTAAATGATGATCTCTGATACTTCTTTGCTCTTTTAATAATTATCTAGATTGTCTTTTATGAGGACAGTCACTGTGGGTGCATCTATAGTGAAGAAATGAGAAGGCTAAAACTGCAAATCCCAGGATTCCATAGGATGGAGCTACAACACTTAATAAGTGGTGTCAAATTGCATTATTTTTACAGTGTAGTAGATGCACCCTGTATCATCCTTAAATCTGAAGTAAAGTTTCTTCCTGAACTAACTCTTGTAGCACAGTCTGTGTATACTGAAGAGAGCAGAGTATGAAGGCTGAAGAAACTTGTATCATGCAAGATAATTTCCTCAAAGGATTGAGATAGGCTGCGACTCCAATCCCTTGGTTTACAAATCCAGCTTTGCAGCTGCATTTTATGTGAAGCAGATTTTGTGAGCCATGTCAACTTAGTTCAAGCCCTGGTCTCTGTCATGCTATTTTTCATAACAGAAATGACACAAGCTCAAACTAACTTACTGAATATCCAGAAATGGGTAGCATTTCAAATTCATATTGATTTGTTCTGTTTCTCTTAGAGAGTTCTTGTTATACCTTCAGTCTCCCGCTACAGAGAATTATTTGCATTCTATACATGAGAATACTGTGTATTAGTTCTGGTTTTGATCTGTTCCACATCAGGAATGGGTTTCAACTAAACTCTGGACCTCATTTCTCTATTCTGCTTTGGTCAGGCCTCACCTGGAATCCTGTGTCCAGTTCTGGGCACCACGATTCAAAAAGGATGTGGAGAAACTGGAGCGCGTCTAAAGGAGGGCAACTAAAATGGTGAAGGGTCTGGAAACCATGAATCCCTATGAGGAACGACTTAGGGAACTGGGTATGTTTAGCCTGGAGAAGAGAAGGTTAAGAGGGGATATGATAACCCTGTTTAAATATTTGAAGAGATGTCACATTGAGGAGGGAGCAAGCTTGTTTTCTCCTGCTCCAAAGAATAGGACCCAGATGTAATCTACAGGAACAGAGATTTCACCTCAACATTAGGAGGAACTTCCTGACAGTAAGGGCTGTTCGACAGTGGAATACACTCCCTCAATGGAGATTTTGGTGGAGTCTCCTTCCTTGGAGGTCTTTAAGCAGAGGCTGGATGGCCATCTTTTGAGGATGCTTTAATTGGGAGTTTCTGCATGGCAGGGGGTTGGACTGGATGGCCCTTGTGGTCTCTTTCAACTCTATGATTCTATGATTCATTAACCCAGGATAGGAATGAACACTTGTTGCCCTTGTGAATTAGCTTGTTACACATATTTTGTGTGTGCACATAATTTTAGTCAATAAGCAGGATTTCTAGTCCTTGGGAGAACATATATACTGCAGCTATTGAAGTACCAGCCCCTGCTATGTTGCTGTTACTGCTTCTCCTTGTTAAATCTCTGACTTTATTTTGGCACCCCACCACATGCTTTTGGATTTATATGGACGTCTTATAAACACCATGCTAGTGTGACTTTCTAGAGCTGTACTTTTCTAGATGTAGTTACTTTCCCTGGGGCTCCAAAGTTGCATTTTGAAATAGTGACAAGCTGGATACATTTTTCCCTGTACTATATATGCACAAATGCATGGAAGTACATGAAAAATAAGGCACTGTGCATAGTCTCTTGTTGCTCATACCACAGTTACTAAGGTATACTTTTGAACTGTCTGTGATATGAGAGCAGATATCTGACTATTATGGCTTTCTCATGTATTTTTAACCAAGAGAAGGAGCACCAGATTAGATTTTAAAGCAATGAAGGACTTTGTTTTTTGCAGAGGAAATGAATGCAAATACTACCTATCGTATTGCAGCGGGTGGGATACAAGCATCCATTATGAGGACAAGGATATTAAAAGCTTGTTTCTGTTTTTGGTCTGTGAAATGTTGCAGGTTATTGGATAGGGCAGACATTTTAAACTGTTGTTGTTGTTGTTTGCCTTCAAATCATTTCTGACTTACAGTGAATCTAAGGCAACCCTATTATGGGGGTTTTCTTGACAGGTTTCTTCAGAGGGGGCTTGCCATTGCCATCCTCTGAGGCTGAGAGCATGTGACTTGCCCAAGATCACTCAGTGGGCTTCCATGTCCAAGCAGGAATTGAAACCCTGGTCTCCAGAGTCATAGTCCAACATTCAAACTTAGAAGCATCAGATTCAAGGATCTTATTATGCTGGTTTCTTAGAAGATGGAATGGTGCAGTCCTTAGAATTACAAATGGTTCTGCAAGAGCATTATTTTTGATGCTTGTATTTTGAATATAATATGTTTCTAGTTTGAATATAATCCTTAAGTTCTCTAAGAACATCACTGTTGTTTCTGACACTGTACTCACCCTGTCATGCTGCTAAACTGGGCTAGAAAAACAACCGCCTGCTTTTTTCTCAGGGTCACACCAGCTCTGTTTGCTATATTTCCTCTGTAATATCCTTTGCCCAGAGTGAACTCATCCGAGGTGAGACACAGTTCTGCAATATCTCACTTCTCCAGGAGTCCCCAGAAATGAAAGAGACTCTTTGTTGTTGCTGCTGCTGCCGCCAAGGGTGGCGAAGGCACAGCTGCAGGAAAGGGTCATTCACTTAGGACTGCTCCATGCTTGAGCAAGGGGAGGTGATAACAGAGATAAAACCTGTTAGTATGAAACAAATTACTTCTTCCTACCATGTGTGTGCTATTTTGACTCTGCTTTTCCCTCACTTTCCATTTCCTAGAAGTTTCCAGAAAAATACAATTGTGCAAGAAGAGAGCAATTGAGCAAAGCAAAATGCAAGGTACCAAGTCTCTCCATTATTAGGATTTTCTAAAGCTTATCGTCCTGTGGCTAGCCTGGCAGTAATAGTGTCGTCCGTTTGTACAGGAAAGATAACAGAATCCTAGCTTTGATGAAATCTTGGTGTGATCCAGCAGAGCTCTGCTTATGAAATGTGGGTGCGGAATTGAATCTGGGAACTAGGGGTAAATGAATGACACAATAGGGAATGAAGTCAGAAAGCCACTAAGATCAATGAAGGGAGTCGTTCTTAGTCTCTGACCTTCCAGATGTCTCTAAATTCTAGTTATGGACAAGTAAATTTAGATAACTGTTCAGTATTTGTGATCACAAATTTGTGAAACCTATCTAAGGGATCGCCTTCTTCCATATAATCAGCGCCGCACCTTCAAGTCCTCTGGGAGGAATTTACTGCAACCGATAAAAACTAGATTAGTAGTAACCTCCCAGAGGACATTTTCTGCTGCCGCTCCCAGACTGTGGAACGCCTTGCCAGAAGAGATCCGTGAAATAACCAATTTGGATAGGTTTAAAAAGGCTATCAAGACGGATCTCTTCCAGCAGGCCTTCTCAGAATAGACTACTCCACGTGAACTGTGTGTCTCCCTGATATACATCTCTGTTATACACTCCTATTGGTGTCCCAGATTGTATGTTGTTTTAATCTTTATGCTTTTATTATTGTATTTAGCTTTAAGGGAGTATTGTATTATGGTTTTTTGGCATGTATGTTTTTAATCTGTATTTGTACTTGTAAGCTGCCTTGATTTCCAAGGCAAAAGGTTAGGTATAAGAAATAATAATAATAATAATAATAATAATAATAATAATAACTTGATCATGATTTTGACACTATTGCCATGATCATAATGCCTTACTTCACTAGGCTTCAACTTCATGGGAAGAAGGTCCATTCTGCCATTGAATAGATGATGATGATGATGATAATAATTTCTTTCCCACCTCTCCTCATGGCTTGAGGCAGGGTACAGCATATTAATATACAAAGTACAATTAGAAAGAAAACACATAAAACCAACAGTTAAAGTGGTTTGTTGTTGTTGTGTGCTTTCAAGTTATTTCCAACTTATGGCAACCCTATCATTGGTTTTTCTTGGCATTATTTGTTTAGAGGGGGGTTGCCATTGCTTTCCCCTGAGGCTGAGAGCATGTGACTTACCCAAGGTCACCCAATGGATGTCATGGCTGAGCTGGGAATTGAACCCTGGTCTTCCGTGTCATAGTCCAACACTCAAGCCACTATACCACGCAGGCTCATAAATAAAACATACAATACTATATTGACTGGGTAGGCCTGCTGGAAGAGATGTGTCTTTAATGTTGTTTTAAATGCTGTCATCATTTTCAGCTGCTGCATCTCTTCTGGCAGGTCATTCCACAGTCTGGGGGTAGCAGATAAAAAGGTCCTTTGGGAAACCATTGCCAGTCTAGTCCAGGCCAGTAGGAACAAACATTTCCTAGAGCACCTGAGTGTACATCAATGGCATTGAATGACATGAGCATGGCTGAATGACATTTTTGTCAGGTTTGGGGATGTCGGCCAGGAGATGTTGCTTATTCAACTTAGCATACTTAACTAAATTAAGTATACTTAAGTTAACGTAGTATAATTAATGTACTTGTGTTTGCTTAACGTAGTTACTTAGTAGACTTAACCAAGTAACTGAGAATTCTGGCCATGATTTTTCAAACCACTTCCAAGTGACTTTGGCATCCACCTCCACAGGTATCCCCAGTTCAGCAACAACTTTTCCAGTCTTACTGTTCTTCATTTCTTGCCTTGTCCTCCCCCTACCCTGTGCTGTTTCACTTAAACCCAACCCTTTCTCCAGACAAGATTTCCTGCATACAGAAGGCATTCACTTCATCCATCTGGAGGGTAAGGAGGAGGCGGTGGGGTGGGAAGAAGCTCTTTAAAAGGTATTTACTGATTTTTCTTGACAGTTCCTTTGCATTCCTTTCCACACTGCAGTTGTTAAATTTGTTGCCTCAGCTGCGAGACAGTTACCGTCTTTGCTTGAACAGCATTTTCTTGCTTACACTTCCTCTTGCAATCCATCAAAAACAAATGGTCAGGGTAGGTATTTTCTCCTATCAGGCTTTCTTTCAGTAGGTAGCCTGAAAGCTTGTCAGAGCACCCCATGGTACAGTTTTGTTTTGCTTTGCTGGAAAGAGGAAGGCAAGTCAGTGGGAATTTGGGGAGACATTTTGCAGTACTTTTCATACATGTATAATTGACATGAAATCTGCTACCATAAGTTGTCATGTTGACCATTAGCGTAGAAGGTTTAATATGGGGATTACACAAAATGCATGAAGGATGCATTCGCTGATGGCTTTTCTTTTCTTTTCTTTTCTTTTCTTTTCTTTTCTTTTCTTTTCTTTTCTTTCTTTTTCTTTTTTTTTTTTTTTTTTGCATATGTAGGAACAGTTGGGGCCACAACTAGCACTTTTGGGCTCTGTGGACTGCTGTCCTGCTTGGTAAGACAATGGAAGTGCAGTTCGGAGTATATTTCTGAGTAGAGAAATCTATTTGGGCTATGGATTGGTCCTTTCCATCCACTCATGTCCACTCCAACAGTAAATTCTTCCTGTTTGGGTCTTGGATCTTTTATGAGTTATACTTTATTTATATTTATTTATTTAGGGGATTTATATTCTGCCTTTCTCCCAAGATGGGATTCAAGGTGGCTACTTTCCTGGCTCTGATGGGTTTCTCTGTATGTCTCATCATTGATTCCCTGGCTCATCCCTGTCCATTGCTTATGGATCGGTCTTGACACATTTCAGATACAATGCTTCCAATCCTCAAGGGGCTTCACTTTGACTTCCACTTTGGTGGCCTGCTCTCACTCCCTTATTTCACTTCTATCTCATTTCTAACAGTTACCTCTCAACACATCATTAGAACTTCCACATATAGAGAAACTATGTCTATGAGTACAAAATAACTAGGGAAGGAGACCATCACTTCCCCATCCTGATTGGAATCTGGATACAGATAGAAAAGAATTCTGGAGTAGATTTTTATTTCTCAGTGTTGATATGAGTTCTGTGGGACTGGATAATCCCAAGTAAGTTACAGCCTGATACAGAAAATGTAACAGTGATGTTGTTGTTGTGTGCCTTCAAGTCATTTTTGACTTACAGCAACTCTAAAGTGACCCTGTCATGGGGTTTTCTTGGCAAATTTCTTCAGAGGGGGTTTGCCATTGCCATCTTCTGAGGCTGAGAGAGTGTGACTTGTCCAAGGTCACCCAGTGGGGTTCTATGGCCATGCAGGGATCCCAGAGTCATGCTGCAATGCTCAAACTACTACACCACACTGACTGTCAGAAAAATTGATGCACAGAAGTAAATATTGCTTAGTTGTGAATATACCCAAGACTTGAATGGCTAATATATTGAAATGTTTCAATTTCTTGCCTGCCCTTCACATGATATGAAACTAATGTTGCCATCCCCATTTTGCCTAAAGTAAAATTCTGAAGTGAATGTGGGTGGACGTTCTCCTTGCATGAGTCATAAGAGGAATTCCAACTTAAGAGAAAAACTTAAGAGAATGTTAGGATTAACAACATTTTTCAGATCAGGAAATAAAGCAGCCCACATTTGATTCTGAATTTTGCCTACTGTAATATTAAAAATGTATCTGAAGGTATCTCCTCAGGTGACAACTCTGCAGAATTCTGAAGGAAAGCCCCCTCCCTCCTGCTTAGCTAAGCTTAGCAGAATTTGCTAGGAACTGGGATATTTATCAGTATGTGTTGTGATCAAGAAGTTGTGGTAGAAAGGAAGAATTGGCTCAGGGTTTGTTAGGTTCATTCTTAGGCAGTTATATTTCTGCAAAACAAGACTATTGCATTTTTGTGCTGTTTGTGAAATTCCCAGATGTATCTAGTTGTCCATTGTGGGAAAGATGCATAGAGTCCTTGAAGTTAAGAAACAATCAGTGTTACAAAGCACTGCTAAAGGGATTCCCTATATGACTGCTTTGGAGAGTGAGATAATGGCGTACATGAAGCAGTGGGTGGCAAGTCCTTGAATACGTTCAACACAAAATAAAAGGAGGTAGGACTCTGAACATATGACTCTCCACAGCCCTTAATGTTAGTTTTCAATGCAGTTCAGACTAGTGTTGGATAGTGCTCCAAGTTCTGTGCTCCTTTGATTCAACCCTATCAGTAAACTATATGTTGTCTTTAAGTTCATTCAGTGTGCTGTCCTAGGTCCTGAAACCAAACTAGGAGGTTATTCATATCATCTCAATAATCCCTGTAGAATGTGGATTGAATCTGTGTTAATTAATATGAAGTCATATGAATGTCAAATTTTCCAGTTAAATTTTGTTTTTTGGGGGGTGGGCTGCCAAAATCCCCACCAAACCCAGGATAATCAATCTCAGGGTTTGTTGGAGTTTTTCTAAAAGATTCACATTGTTGGCAGTGTGAATAACTGCTGTATCTGGATCCGAGATAAAATTCTGCATGTTCTGAATGGGTTTCAGATACTCTTGCATCATCAACTCTGTCTTTATTGGCATGTATGAACAACAGAACTGGCGGACATGCACATAGATTTGATTCTGATTTAAAGGAAAAAAAAACCACCAGTGTGAATAACAAATTGGGAATGAGTGGGAGAAATTATTCCCATAGTCACATTGCAAAACAAAACATGTAGATAACCCCTAAGAGTACTTGTTCTTTTTTGTAGCTTTGCAACACTCTGCAACTCTGGGCTCCATTTAACAGTAAGAAACAAAACTATGAGAAACAAGAATGGTGAGATTCATCTGGGATTAAAGAGCTACTGCTTTGCTTCTGCAGCCTTTTTAATTCAGGAAGGATCACACCATTCCTATTGCTTCTGGAACCAGTGTGGTCTAGCTGCTTGAACATTTTTGGAGACCAAGATTTGAATCCCCATTGGGCCATGGAAAACAGCTGGATGAGTTGTACCCATTCATCCTCAAAGGGAGGGAGGGATACTAAACCCCCTCTGAACAAAGCTTGCCAAGAAAACCTTGTGATAGGGTCACCTTCGCATTGCCATAAATTGGAAACAACTTGAAGGCACACAACAATGACAACAACAGGTTTGCTTCTGTGGCATGCACTCAGTGAGACATACATACCTCTTGCTGACACTTGGACTGGTATGGTTGCAACAATGGCTTGGTGTTTGGAGTTCAGAGGCAGGTGTGGGGAATTTATTAGTTTTTGAGGAAGACATTGGTAAATTCTTGTTTCCTTGGAGTGCTTATATGCTAGCTTTATATACTAGCTTTCTGCTCAAGGTGATTCATGATTTAAAGTGATGATTTAGTATTTAATAAGCTCAACACAAAAGGCATAGGAAAAGAAGAGGGAAATACATTCAGGTGTCATGATTGCTGTGCAGGTCAGTTCTGGGAGGGGAAGATAATGGAAGAAGGATTGTGTGTCCCTGTTGTGCTGCTGATGAAAGGCTCTTCTTTTGTTTAAAACAATCAAGTGGAATGATCATGGATTGAGGAATTTCTAGGGAGGCAAAGAATCAGACAGTCTCAGTCAGGCTGATGGAGGAGACCTCACGGTTTTCCTCCTTCTCCAGAAGGAGGACATCTTTGCAAAAATATTGTTTCAGTTGCTAAAATGATCCTAGGCTAACCTTGGAAAAGATAGCTTTAGGAAATTAGCAATTCCCAGGAGCCCATAGATATATGGCTAATGGCCATGTGGCTGAGGGATTCTGGGAGGTGTAATAAAAGGAACTTTTCCAAGCTCTATTTCAGTTAAAGTGTTTTTTTCCCTCATCCCATCCTCTTTGACTATGGCATTCCAGCAGACTTTCCTCTTCTTATACAAAAGTGTTTTATATCCTACAGTACTATGCAGCAATTGAGAAAAATAAATTGTAATTGACAAATTATTTATATAGCACAGATTCACAAACACGCAGTGTGATTGAAGGCACTCTGCATTTTTTTTACAACATATATATATATATATATATATAGATATATATATCACACACAGTTAGTGTTGAAAGTGCTTGGAATACATTATCTCAAGAAACTATTTTCACCTCATGTTTAGAAAGCCTGTTTGAACAGGAACATGGAAACAGAGCCTTAGAATGCTTATTGATATGCCGTTTTCTCTGAATATGGTACGCAATTGTTATTATAGAGAAAAAGGTCTTGAATGAACTCTGCAGTTGACTGAACATTGGAGAATAGTGCTGATACTTAGACATTGATTTATTTTTGT